AAAATTTATATAATTATATTAAATAATTAAAAATTTTAATAATATATAAAATAATAATTATTAATAAATTATATTTACCTTGATATTGCTTCTGTTTCTAATTTTTATATATGAGAATATTTAGAAATAGCTAATAATTGTATTCATGACAAATTTTAAAATAAGAAAGATATAATTAACAATAATAATAATAAATTAATGGGAATATAGATATGGAATGAATATTAAATGTGTTTAAATAATAATAAAATAATACTAAATCTAAATATATGCTATATATTAAAGTTAAAAGTGTATTATAAAAAACAAAGATAATATTGTTATCATTTGATTGACTTTTGAAATACTCAAAGCTATTTATAAAAATTAAAGGAATATTTAAAGAAAACTTCCAATATCTTAATGACAATTCAAAGTATTAATAATACTTTATAATTATTAGACTGAATATGAGTAAGTACTAAATATACTAGTGACAAAATCACTTAAAGGTTATTAATATTGATATGATTTATATTATTTTGATGATCAACGTTACTTATAACTAATCGGTAATATAGTATAATCATTCTATACCTATTATCTATATTACCTATAATCATATTTATAATATTACCTTGCTTTTTTATGAGATCTTACCTTACCTGGTAGCTACATATTCATTAACCTTAGTGAAAGAAAGATATGAATGTAAATATTTTCGTGTTGTTTCAAATAATTTGTAAAATAAACTCATTTATTATATTTTCTGTCAGGAGAGAATAAAAAATAAGCTTCCAGTAACCTGTTCGAGACTGTTTGCAGCAAAAGCAAAGAAACAAATTACGTAAACAAAACAAATCATTATTTACTTATGTTGTCAAATTAGATAATTAACTTATTTCTATATCTGATTATTGATTGATATTTTTAAAAATAGATTTGCAGAAATTGGCGAGAAAATCGGGAAAGATGAAGTATGGGTAGCTGCATTATTTTATGGACAGGTTTGTTAATGATTAATAATTGATGTTTATTATGATTTTTGTCTATCCGGTTTTATATACCTGAAATAATACGTTTGAAATTAATTTGTTTACCAAAAAAAGGCAAAACCAGACAACGAAGTTATCGAAAAACTGGCTCTCGTGTTAGATATGCATTTTGATGATGATTATTATAGGGAATCGTTTTATCCTGATAAAGGAGGGTAATGTTTGTCATATTATTTATTTATTAACTTTCATAAAAATTATCTTTTTGGTGTTTCTTTTATAATATAATATAATATAGTAAATCAATTTTATAGACTTGTAGAGGTTCCGCCTACTGATCCATTGATTTACCGATTTTATGAGATTATTCAGGTAATTCGAGTCTGGTAATGGTGCAAGGACTCTTAAATCGACAATATGTTTCATGCTAAAAATTCTATCAACTTCTTAACTAAGAAGTAAATATAAAATTTAACCGGTAATATTATAGGAAAGGACTTTCTTGATAGTATTACCGGATTTACTTCTTAGTTAAGAAGTTGATAGAATTTTTAACATGAAACCTATTGTCGATTTAAGAGTTCCTGCACCATAATTGAATTAAGTAATAATTTAACACGGATACTTTTTAGGTTTACGGGTACCCGTTAAAAGCCGTAATTCACGAGAAGGTAAATAAATAAAAATTGATAAAATAATGAAAACATTATGTTTATGTCAATATTTTCTTTGCTAGTTTGGAGACGGCATAATGTCGGCTATTGATTTCACCGCGAATGTTGATAAGGTATTTTTTGGTTTTCATTTTTTTTCGATTTGCTGTTTACTAAATCTTCGAAATAAATTTTTTTTTGAATAAATCAAATCAAACCGAAATCCGAATCTAAAAAAAAAAAGGTTGTAAAAGATGGCGGGGAGAGAGTCAAAGTCACATTTGAAGGAAAATTTTTGCCATATAAAAAATGGTGAAAAAGCTAATAATTATTATCGTGTGTATTATTTCTTTGAAAATTTGGGTTACTGGATTATTTTTTTGTAAAACACCGACGCCTGTTATGAATACTTTTTATTCTTTGTTCCTTATCTTTGACTGTTCGATCTGTACCTTTTTAATCTCGTATTTAATCAAATTCTTTGATGTTTAAATGTCAAATCAACTGACTTAAATAATTTATTATGAATAATGTAATATATCATTGAATAAACAAAATATAAATAAATAAATTCAACATCGATCGAAACTAGAACAGCACAGGATTCTTGTATATTTTCGCGTATCGTCCCAACGCCCATATAGTGAAAGTAAACTTATAATTCGGGTAACTGATCATACAGTTTTTGTTAAACACACCCTCGATGCCTTCTTGTTTCCATTCACCGTTCAGCTGTTGGCGTGACATTATAAACTACAAGTCATTATATAAATATGAAGAGTCATGAATTATTCGAGTCAACACGTTAATTTCTACTATTATGATGAATTATTATTATCATTACTCACCTCAATTCCTTTTCGAATAGCTCTCTCATCAGGATACCGAGCTGACATTAACGCGAGTACTGCCCATGATGTGTTGACTACTTGCGATTCGGCGTGTTGCACATATTCGCCTAACTCACACGACTAATAATATTATTATTCATAATATTCAAATTAATTTTTTAACTTTTTTTTACTGAACGAGATAAATAAAACAAATACTTTGTAAGATTCACCCCAGCCTCCATCTTCGCGTTGTCTCGAAATCAGGAATTCGCATCCTTTTCTTGATGTCGTGCTATTAATTTTATTATAATGATAAATAAGACATCAAACAAAAAAAAAAACTAATAACTAAACTAATAAACAAACCTATTTTCATAATTCTCCCCAAAACTCGCGAGACTCTCTAACGCAAACAACGCAGCATACGTGAAACAGATAGCCCAGCTACCATACCATCCACCGTCTTCTTTTTGACTCTTGTGAATGTATTTTGCGGCCTTGTTGCAAACCTCACTTTATTTATGCAAGAATTACCATTAATTACAAATGTTTAGATGAAAAAAACATTTGGTTAGTTGATAAATAAAATGAGAACAAAAAAACTTGCCTAATTTCATCAGACCGATAATCAGGATAATATTCACGGAACGTACACAGTCCAGTCAACACAGATGTTGTACATTCAGGATAACTATACTCGATCATGATATTATCAAATACTTCTGCAGGATTAATCCATTCAAGCCACCACGGCCCACGTATCAATTCATAACTCGCAAATCCGCCATCACTGTTTTGCAATGATAGAAGCACGTCTACAGCTTGACGAAGACGTTCTTCAGAGACAGGCTTGGGTGTATATCTATCCTCGTACACACATAACTCACAAAAATGAAACTCTTAATTATACTTTTAAAGTAGAATTATTGTTTACTTACTGTAATTTCTGTAAAAGAAGCACAGCTTTGAGTCCTTCAGCAGTAGAGTCTGAAACCGTGTACCCTTGATCTCGTGTACTAAAAGGCCAAGCACCTTTCGATATATGCCTGTAACACATGTCTGTCTCTGGAACATTCCGCTTGATTTGACAATCATCCAGAAATTCAAGTGCTCTCAACATTGACTCGTGATTCGATGGTTCGTCGGCAAGACCTAAAGGCAATGCCAAACGTGCAATTTTCAATCTTGCATATTAATAATAAACAGATATATGCGCTTTTTTTATTACCTGATTCTATAACAGCTTGAACAGTAAACGCGGTATCCCATAATTGACTTCCATTAGTCCCGTTCATCATCATCCCTTCAGCACTCATCCTAGATGCAATGTATTTTAAACTTTAGAATTTCGTACATTATACTCAAAAATATAATTCACCTACCACATAAAATCAATGATTTTTGACTGAGCTAATTTAAACGCCTCGGAATCGGGTCCTTCTTCGAGATACGCAACCACCAAATTCATCGCTTTGTTGACCTTAAACAGTTTCCCAAAAATTTAGATTAATTCTCAATCTCACAAGAAAAAATCCTTTAGAAATAAAATATACAAGATAAGCATTATTATTTGTCAAATCACTAATATATACATACAGGACCTAGATCAAGGTAAAACGTATTCTCATCTTCAGCTTTCACTTGTTTATATACTTCATTAAGTGCATGCTTCCGCAAATCAACAACATTTGGAATTTTTTCATAGAGACTTAGTATTCCTATTAAAATATTTATTTCAAGAGAACCCATTTAATTTACCTTGATTATTTCTTCAACACAAACATCGTCATATCTAATCAATAAGCAGCCCGACTATTATAGCCATACTCACCGTTAAGAAAACCGAGCAACCCAGGATGCGGCACATACAAATCAACTTCACACACGTCGTTTCGTGCATATGCCCAATTAATTGATTCATACGGTTGCACGTATAATTCTTGACGTAGTTGTTTGATGAACGGACATAAGTCGGCGCCTACTCGTTTGCCGTAGATGTAGCTCATTGGAAGATACACCATACGTGTGTGGCACCAGAATCGACCTGGGTGAAAAGGTATAGAATATGGTAATAGCCTATGTTTATATGTAACACGTGTGTGTGCGTGTAATTAATTATATTAAAAAAATATATAAATTGTTATTGGTAATTTGACAGTTGTGTACCAAAATTCTGGGATTATCGGATTCAAGCCTTCCCAGTCGTAGACATTCAACACGGCCAGCCAGAATTTCCCCCATGAAGGAGATCCAATTGCACCTCCTATATGAAACCCAACAAATTACTCTTTTACCATTGCTATTATATAGAAATCATTGGGCAGGGCAAAGGCAATTACCTAATTTATGAAGCGTAGCTCTACTTTTCACCATTACTGGGTGATCCGCGTCCACACCCAAAATACGAAGTGCGACATAGTTCAACGCAGTTCCGAAAACAGTTGAAGGACCTTCTATGTGTCTATATAAACGTATCAAGCAAAAAATCACGTCAACTCTCACAATTCAACTTAATATACATAATGAATAACTTAGTAGTCATGAAAATAAATTTAATATTCGGAATAAAAAACTTACATGCCCCAGCCACCGTCGTCTTTATGCGCTCGATTAAACAAATAACGCGTAATTTCAGTGGACCAGCTCTTTGGAATTGGTGTGTGCGTGATATACATTGCGATAATTATTCCAGGTAACAGAAACATTGGACCGCCGTATTCACCAGCCCAGTGCCCGTCCTCGGTTTGTAGTAACTTGAAAAACTCGAAGCCATTGCGTGCTGCTTCGAGGGCGGTTTTGGGAGTATCGAGTTGTTTGTTTGGCTAATTTATTTATAATAATACAAAACTGTCAAATAATGAAAGACTTCGTAATATAGTGTATAAAATGATAGGATAGTGTCTTACTTACAAAGGGAATCCCAAGCCAATACTTATCGCATATAGACTGAGGCCATTTCCTCAGTTCTTCGTCGTTTTCAAGGTAATGCCACGTTTGTCGGCCATGTTCCACTTTGAGTCGCCAACGAAGAGGGTCTGTGCCTTGAGGGTTTTTTGGAAGCTGTGTGTCTACGAAATCAAATGTATTTGGTGGCATGTTTTTGGAAGAATTGGAAGTTGCGGGAAGTTCTTGAGCACATTTTAAAGTTACTAATTAACACATGCAGTATGATCAAAAATTAATGTTAAACACACATGTAAGAGCATGCTTAACAATCTATTCTCATCAGAAAAATTGCTAATATGGTGCAAGAACTCTTAAATCGACAATATGTTTCATGCTAAAAATTCTTAACTAAGTAAATACAAAATTTAACTGGTAATATTATAGGAAAGGATTTTCTTGATAATATTACCGGTCAAATTTGGATTTATTTCTTAGTTAAGAAGTTGATAGAATTTTTAACATGAAACATATTGTCGATTTAAGAGTTCCTGCACCATATATAAACGCAATTTCAGCTTGAATTCACAAGATTATATTAAACATTAGAAGAAATATATATAAATATTTAAAGTTAATTGCTTATTTTTTTTAAGATTGTTAATTTTGATTAAAGTTAATAAGAAATTTTCAGATATCCATTTTTTCATGTTGATTTTATTGTAATTAAATTCAATAAATTCTTTGATAAGTATAATTAAATTTCTTTATTAAAGTTAACAAGTAATTTATAGGACTCCACCAGGATAAGTTCGGGCCACGTGATATTGTAGATCTTTCGATCCATGAGTTCCGATCCATCAGGGTAACGATTATTGACTATATATGGAATATTCATACAAGTCTTATCATGCCAATAAAAGAAAGAATATAATGAGAATCTGTTACATTTGTTTAGAGTTTACATTGCTCTAAATATTTTGCGTTGATGAAAAAATATTCATTTAGTTTGAGTATTGAACTAAGTTTGTGAGGTAATAAAAGAAAGAATGCGACGAGAATCTGCTGGATTTACTCAAGTAATTATTTCAGAACCTGAATATTTTGTGTTGGTGAAAGGTTCAGTTTGAGGATTAAACGAAGTTTACGAGGTGATAAAAGAAAGAATGCAATGAGAATTTGCTGAATTTATCCAAGCAATTATTTCAGTCACGTCAAAGCTTATATTATCCCGAATCATTTAGTTTGAGAATTAAATGAAGTTTGCGAGATGATGAAAAAATGTGATAAGAATTTGCTGGATTTATTCAAGCAATTATTTTCAGTTATGTCGAAGCTTATATCATTTTGAATTATTCAGTTTGAGTATTAGACTAAGTTTGCAATGTAATGAAGAAAAAATGTAATGAGAATTTGCTGGATTTATTCAAGCAATTATTTCAGTCACTTCAAAGCTTATACCATCCCAAATCATTCAGTTTGAGAATTAAATGAAGTTTATGAGGTGAAAGAAAGAATGCGATGAGAATCTGCTGGATTTATTCAAGCAATTATTTAAATTGCATCAAAGTTTATATCATTCTGAATCATTCAGTTTGAGTATTAAACTAAGTTTGTAAGATAATGAAAGAATGTGATGAAAATCTGCTGGATTTATTTAAGTAATTATTTTCAATTGTGTTGAAGCTTATACAATTTTGAATCATTTAGTTTGAGTATTAGACTAAGTTTGTGATGTGATGAAGAAAGAATATGACAAGAATCTGCTGTATTTATTCAAGTAATTATTTTAGTCACATCAAAGCTTATATCACCTAATCATTCAGTTTGAGGATTAAATGAAGTTGCAAAATGAAAGAAAAATGTAACAAGAATCTGCTGGATTTATTTAAACAATTATTTTAGTCATGCCAAAGCTTATATCATTCTGAATTATTTAGTTTGAGAATTAAATAAAGTTGCGAGATGAAAGAAAGAATGTGATGAAAATCTGCTGGATTTATTCAAGCAATTATTTAATTTAGATATGAAGGTGAATTATTTAAGATTAATTATTAATGTTTTATTATTATTTAATATATTATTTTTTTACAAGAAGTAATAATATTAAAGAAAAAAATAAAATTACAGATAAGTATAATAATAAATAAGCAAATTTATATGTTTTTTTGACTTTTATGCTTTTCGAAATCTTATAATATATTATTATTTTTAATTGCTATAATATTTATATTATCAGTTAATATACTTTTTGCCAAACTTGACTTATTTTTATAATTACCAATTCATCTGAACATGATAAAACATCAAGTATAATTTTCTATTTGCTGATATTCAAGTTATTTATCAATATTTTTATTAGTTTATTATCTCAATTTTCTTTTTTATTAATATTAGTTTATTATTATATAAATATGATACCAGTTATTAGCTTGATTATCTATTTAAATAATGATCAATTTAACTTGACATAAGTTAAAGATGATATCACAATTAAGAAATTATAACTTAATAAATTGCAATTATAAGTTGCAATCTATTAAAAAATTAAATTAAATTCACAATTAATTGCAATATTATAATTAATTGCAATTATTACAATTAATTATAATTATTATAATTAATTATAATTATTACAATTAATTAGAATCTACTAAAGTAGAATAGTATTATATAATATATAATTTAATTTGGATCATATTATATAATTTTAAAATTATGTGAAAATTCATAATTGTTCAAGAGTTGATTGTTAAAATGTATTAATAGGAGATGGATCACTTAATTAAGAGCCTGATTATTATTATTTAAAGAATATTTAATCATTAGAAATATTAGAAATATATATTAATAAAAAAAAACAGATTGATTAACTATTTAATTAGCTGCTTTATTGAATTATTTTTTAATTAAATACAAAATTATTATTTTAAAAATTGAATTCAATAATTTATCTAAACAGATAATAAATATTTTAATAGTATCTGCATTATTTTTATTCTTCATTATCCAGTATTTGTCTCACACTCTTTTCATAAGTTTATCCATTTACAACTTACATATTTCTATTTTTTTTCTTTTGAGTCTAAACTAAAAATAAAATTACAATTTTCTAATTGGTTGTTGCAATTAATCACAATTCTTTAATTAAATACTACAAGTCATAATATTATCTTTAGTTTGAACAAGCTCAGATATTTTGATCATTTTTTGATACTTATATACTTCAAAGTCAATCTTCGCAAATAATTATTGAAATTAAAGTTGCTTGCCGAAATCCCTTAATGACTGTCTAAATTCTGTCGAAATTATAATAAACTATTAGTAAATAACCTGTCAAAATTCTAACGAATTTTGAAATCCTTCATAACCGAAATTATGTCAAAATTCTAATTAACAATTAGTGTGTAACCTGTCAAAATTATGACGATATTTTTCTGAAAGGATTTAGGCAAGCATTCTTATTCCCCATATTATTCTACCAATATCTTGCGGCGATTCTCTGATAAGTTCCCTCAAATCCGAAATATTCAGAAAGCGTGTCGCCATGTAAATTATTTATGATCGCTTCAGTTTTGGTCATTTTGAGTATGCAGAGTGGATTATTGGGCTCTTTCCTCCAGTTGATCTTGTAGAGTAAGTCATCTTGAATTATGTAATGTTTCAATTGATTTTGGATCCATTTCGTTATTTCTTGTTATATCCTTCAAGGTAACCTTCATTTTTAAGATATCTTATTAGATCGGAGTATATCGTCAAATCCATTTTGGTTGAGTTTGTTGAGGTTTGGTGTCTTCTTTATTTGGTACGTATTGTTATTATTATTATATTAAATTTTTTTATTTTATTATTGTCCTATTCGTGAGAGTGTGTCTGTGTTCTGGTTCATTTTCCGGAGCGATAGGTAATTAGGAAGGTATATTCCATCATTGTCATAACTCATCGAGAAACACGAGGTCCAGGGTTGGTTTGTTTGGTGAAAAGCCAACGAAGGACGTTGTAATCTGTGACGATTTTGAAGAGCATCCCAAGAAGGTAATGTTGAAATTGTCGAACAGTCCAGACTACGGCAAGAGCTTCCTTTTCAGTGACGCTATATTTCTTTTCAGCAGGCTTTAGGGAGACACTCGTGTAGGTAACAACTCGTTCTCGGCTTTGTTCATCCTTTTGAGAGAGAACGGTGTCTAATCCAGTATCAAAGGCATCCATATACAGGTAAAATTTTCTGGTGAAATCCAGATAAATGAGGATTGGGACCGTGATTAATTTTTCTTTAGTAAGTTGAACGCGTTTTCTTGATTTACGGTCCAGATATAATAGACATTATTCCGGAGAAGTTGAAAGAGCGGAGTGGCGACTTGTGAGAATCCTTTGATAAATTTTCGATAGTAACCAGCGAGGTCAAGAAAGGAGTGAAGTGTTTTAATAGTTGTCGGCTGAGCAAAACTTTTAACCTTTTCTACAGTAGTCGAATCTGGTGAGATTCCGTCTTGACCGATGACGTGTTCAAGAAAAGGTAAGTTATTTCGGTTGAACTTGCATTTTTCAAAGTTTAGTTTTAATTTCGCATCTCGAATTCGCTGGAACACTATTTCTAGATGCTGCAAGTGTTCGTCGAAGGTTCAGGAATAAACATTGATGTCATCAATGTATACCATCGCAAACTTCTAGTTGTATTCACCAAGCATGACGTCCATCGCTCTTTGGAATGTGGTAGGCGCATTGCATAAGCCGAAGGGCATCACTTTAAATTCGAAGAGACCTTCTCTTGAGATGAATGCGGTCTTTTCGATACTCCGTGGTTCCATCTCAATTTGCCAGTATCTGGAAGTTAAATCCATAGACGAAAATCACTTTGATTCCCTAAGACTATTCATCATCTCATCGATTCTTGGTAACGGGTAGACGTCCTTTTTAGTTATTGAGTTAAGTCGTCGATAGTCTACACATAGCCGTTTTTTTCCGTTTTTCTTAGCGACTACTACAATTGGCGAAGACCAGGGGCTACTGGACCGTTGGATGATTCCTGCTTCGAGCATGTGCTGAATCTCATTATGAATAAAATCTTGATCTGGAAGTGTTGCTCGATAAGTGTGTTGTCGAATAGGTTTGTCAGTCTCAGTTTCTATTTGATGTTGAACCACGTTCATGCATCCTAGTGCATTGATTTCGTTCACAAAGATGTTCTTGTAAGTTTTTAATAGTTTTTCTAA